GCAAGCTGTGGGCAGTCCTCACCTGCTCCAGAAGGAAACAAGCCAGAGGAACAAGACAATAAGATGATCCAAACACGTCCTTTCCTCGGTGCTTCTCTAATCTGAATGCTAACCTTCTCTACACCACAGTCAAAAAAAGTTGGCCCTTCTGAAAACAGTGAAGGACATATGCTTACAAATATTTATCCACCTCTTCCTGGCTCAGGCTTTTCCCCCTCACCTTTGCCCCATGCTGACAAAGGGCCATTGCTCTTTGTGGCTACTGCTTTTCCTGCCTCATATCCCTGTCACCCTAAGGATTTCTCTAGACCTAAACTCTAGACCTAGATCAGGAAAAATGCCTCAGTCTCTTCTGGAGAAACAGGGAGGCAAAAGGCAGGGATGCCCAATGATTTCTGGGCAGGAGACCCCAAAATGGATTTCAATGGACTTACCAGGTAAAAAAATGAGAAAATAGAACCTACTGGCAAGTCAGATCAAATCAGAGCAACTTTTGTTTTTATCTCATTATCCCAGCACAATACCCTAATTAAACACATGCATTACCCTGATAGTACCTCTTTCTGATCTTGTATTAGTGTAGGAATTGATCTTCATTTCTCATTTCTAAGGGTCTAGATGAGAAACTGTAGTCTGGAAAATAGGGAACAATGGCATAAGGTGCCTCCTAAAAACTGGTACAAAAATCCCATCATTTTGCCGTACTGATTCCTCGCTGGTAATATCATCTAACTCTGGCAGACAGCCAAATGCATTAGGCTAATGAACAAATCCCAGGTCCCTTCTCCTATCTTACTCACTCCTCTCAGTCCCAGGAGGGGCCCTAAGTAGCAAAAAGAAATCAGGGGGCAGAAAAAGTTTTCTAGAACAAGAGGAGTAAGTCTTCAGAAAGCTACTGGGACACAATCCTACAACTGGGAGAAGGATGAACTGGATCTAGAGGCATGCAACCCAGCTGCTTGAAATTCCTGGAGTCCAAATCCATGGAGCGTCTCAAGGCTCTGCTGCTTCTCAACAGTTCAGGGAAGTTTGGGGATCCTGTCAGATTCTCCCATTTCTTTTCTTTTTTAAAAGATTTTATTTATTTATTTGACAGAGATCACAAGTAGGCAAAGAGGCAGGCAGAGAGAAGGGGAAGCAGGCTCCCTGATGAGCAGAGAGCCCAGTTCAGGGCTTGATCCCAGGACCTGGAGATCATGACCTGAGCTGAAGGCAGAGGCTTAACTCACTGAGCCACCCAGGCGCCTGATTCTCCCATTTCTGACTGGAGTTCGCCATCCATAACAGGGCTCATCTTCACATCCAGTTTGTCAGTCAGCATTACCATCCCCCTCAACGTGAAAGTGGCTTCTGGTTGAAATTCCTCCAATTTCCACTCTAGTGTCTTGGGAGTGACACTAGAGAAAAGAATGTGTAAATATGGCAGGGGGAGAAAAAGTGGTGATGAGTTCATCTCCAGGACCAAGGAGCAAAATGACAGAAGGAGGAGGCCAAAAGCAGATCTCCCCCCAATCGAGCTCCCTAACTTTGGTCCTGTCCTTGTCTTCCACCTGTTCCTCATTAATTCCCATCAGTTGTCAGCTGAATTTTTTTGGTTGTTGTTTCAATTAGTATTTTTTTAAAAGATTTTATTTATTTATTTGACAGAATGAGAGAGAGAGAGAGAGAGAGAGAGAGAGAGAGATCACAAGTAGGCAGAGAGGCAGGCGGAGGTGGGAGCAGGCTCCTCACTGAGCAGAGCCCGACGTGAGGCTCGATCCGAGGACCCCGAGATCATGACCTGAGCCGAAGGCAGAGGCTCAACCCACTGAGCTACCAAGGCGCCCCAAGTGGAGTATTTTTTAAAGTATTTATCTATTTATTATTTTTTTTAAAAGATTTTATTTGAGGAGGGGAGCACAAGCAGGGAGAGCAGCAGGCAGAGGGAGAAGTAGGCTCCCCACTGAGCAAGGAGCCTGAAGTGGGACTCGATCCCAGGATCCTGGGGTCACGACCTGAGCCAAAAGCAGACACTTAACTGACTGAGCCAGAAGTCCCAGTAGATTTTATGTATTTATTTGAGAGAGAGAGCATGATCAGGGGAGAGAAGCAGAGGCAGAGGCAGAGGGGATAGCAGACTCCACGCTCAGGAGGGAGCACAATGCGGGGCTGGATCCCAGGACCCCGCCCGGGACTGTGACCTGAGCAGAAGGCAGATGCTTAACAACTGAGCCATCCAGGTGCCCCAGGTTATTTATTTGAGAGAGATATAGCGGGAAAGAGCACAAGCAGGGAGAAGAGAGAAAAGCAGACACCCCACTGAGCAGGGAGCCCCATGTGGGGTTTGATCCCAGGATCCTGAGATCATGACTTGAACTGAAGGCAGAAGCTTAAATTACTGAGCCACCCAGGCGCCCCACAGCACATCTATTTATAACATGGTGTATTGAGTATTTTAAGCTCACTGTTGAGACTTACTGCTCAGAAAAAAAGATTCCTTTCAAAATATGACTGCTCATCGACAATGCACCTGGTCACCCAAGAGCTCTGATGGAGATGCCCAATGAGGTTAATATTTTCACACCTGCTAACACAACGTACACTCTGCAGCCCATGGATCAAGGGGTCATTTGGGCTTTCAAGTCTTATTATTCGAGAAATACAGTTTGTAAGGCTCCCATAGATAGTGATTCCTCTGGTGGATCTGCACCAAGTAAATTGAAAATCTTTTGGAATGCAATCACCATGCGAGATGCCATCAAGAACATTCATGGGACGGCTGGGTGGCTCAGTAGGCTAAGCAACTGCTCTCACCTCAGGTCACAGTCCCGGGGTCCTGGGATCAAGTCCTGCATCAGGCTCCCTGCTCAGTGGGGAGTCAGCTTCTCCCTCTCCCTCTACTGCTCCCCCTGCTTGTGCTCTCTCACTATGTCAAATAAATAAAATCTTTAAATAAAATAAAAATAAATTTTTAAAAAAAGAACATTCGTGAGTCAGGGCACCTGAGTAGCTCAGTCAGTTGAGCCTCCGACTCGATTTTGACTCAGGTGATGATCTCAGGGTCGTGACACTCCAGCCCCACATGGAGCCCTGCGTCAGGCTCCAGGCTCCACATGGAATCTGCTTTTTTCTCCCTCTGCTATTCCCCCAGCTTGTACTCTCTCTCCCTCAAATAAGTATAAATCTTAAAAAAAAAAAAAAATCATGATTCATGGGAAGAAGCCAAAATATCAACATGAACAGGAGTTTGGGAGAAGCTGGTTCCAACTCTCAAGGATGACTTTGAGGGGTTCAAGACTTTAATGGAGGAAGTTACTGCAGATGTGATAGAGATAGCAAGAGAACTAGAATTAGAAGTGGAGCCTGAAGATGGGATTCAGTGGCTGCAACGCCATGATAAAACTTTCTCAGATGAGCAGGTGCTTCTTACAGATGAGCAAAGAAAGTGATTTCTTGAAATGGAATCTCCTTCTGGTGAAGATGCTGTGAAGATTGTTGAAATGACAGCAAAGAATTTAGAAGGTTACACAAACTTAGTTGATAAAGCAGCGGCAGGGTTTGAGAGGATGGACTCCAGTGGTGGAAGTTCTACTGTGGGTAAAATGCTACTGAGCAGCATCACGTGCTACAGAGAAATCATTCACAAAAGGAAAGTCAATCAGTGCACTAAACTTCACTGTTGTCTTATTATAAGAAATTGCCACAATGGCGGCATCTGGGTGGCTCAGTCGGTTGGGCGTCTGAGTCTTGGTTTTGGCTCAGGTCAGGATCCTGGGGTCCTGGGATGGAGCCCAGAGTCAGGCTCCTTGCTCAGTGGGGAGTCTGCTTCTCCCTCTGCCACTCCCCTGCTTATGCTCTCTCTAATAAATAAAATCTTTAAAAACAATATTTAAGGGGGTTTGGGGGGTAGGAAAAGAATAAATGGAACAAGATGGGATTGGGAGGGAGACAAACCATAAGAGACTCTTAATGTCACAAAACAAACTGAGGGGGTCAGGGGGAGGGGGGTAGGGAGAGGGTGGTGGGGTTATGGACATTGGGGAGGGTATGTGCTATGGTGAGTGCTGTGAAGTGTGTAAACCTGGCGATTCACAGACCTGTATCCCTGGGGCTAATAATACATTATATGTTTATAAAAAAATTAAAAAAAAAAAAAACCCAAAAAACAAAATTTAAAACTACAGAGTAAATAAATGGAAAAGGACAGCAATACCTCTGTACCCAATCATAGTAAATAGTCTATACTTAATAAGAGAAACTGGTAGAAGAAATTGGGACTGAAAGTTTCAAAGATGGCTGGCAGGTCAGGGCCCCTTTCAGGGCATTTCTTGGAAGGACAGCCAATGGGGACAGCAAGGCACAGCAGAGGAGCAGGAACAGCCCTGCTGAAAAGAAGCAATGCTCTGGTTGGGAAGTGGGGAAAGGCTTGGCATAAAGATATACCAAGACCGGTCCTAGCTGGGAAGTGTCTTAACCCTTGGAAACTTCAATTACCGTGGAGGTAGCTTCACCCCTACCTTTAGAGGCTGTGGGAGGGAAAACGAAAAAACAAAAAAAAACCCCAGCAAGTTGAAGGAACAAGGCACTACAAACGCATCCTTTACCTAGGGCTCTCCCTGATCTGAATGGTTATTTCCTGAATCTCTCCTTCACCCTACCTTAGCCAGAAACACAGAGCCAGAAAGCTGATGGTTTCCAAGAACTGGAAAGGACATGACATTTGCAATATTTATCCATCTCTTTCTTGCCCAGACATTATCCTTTACTCTGCCCCAAGCTGGCAGACTGGCTCTTGCTCCTTTTTGTGGCTCCTGCTTCTTCCTGCTAGATACACTTGTCACACTGAAGATGTACCCTAGACAAAGGATCTGTAGGTGAGAATGTTTTCGTGTCTTCTGTAGGGAAGGCAGGAGAAAAGGGATGGGTGATGGTTTCTTTTAACCCAAAGAGTTAAAAGTTCTTCTTCCAAGAACATAGGTGGAAGGCTGGGATACTTAGATTGGCACATTAGATCAATGCTGGTGACTTTTAATTTAATTAAACACGTTTAATTTAATACCAAACACATTCGTCATCTAGAGAGTACTGCATCCTAACCCTACCTCAACTGCTGGAATTAGGTTCAATCTGGTGACTAGGGGGTGATCACAGAAAAGAAATGAGGATGGGAGCATCTGGTGCCTTTTAAAACTGGTGCAACCCCCTGCCCCCCATCATGTCACAAAGCTCCCCATCTGGTGTTATGACCCACCTCTAGCAGAAAGCCAAAAGTGTTCCAAGGTGCCTTCTATATGTTACTCACTTCTCCCATTTGCTAAGGGGCACTGCTAACCCAAAGAAATGGACTCTAAAAGAAGAGGAGTAAGTCTCTGGAGAGCTACTGAGTCAGACTGTTAAAACTGGGAGAAGCAAGGAGTGACTGCAGAGTTGTCCAGTGCTGTTGCCTAAACTTGCTGAACCCCAGATCTGCTTCTGTCTGGTAAGAGAAGTTTCTGGGTCCTGTGTGACTCTCTGAACTCTGACTTAAAAATGGTCTGCCTTTCCCCGAAGCTTCTGGCTCTTCAGTCGCTCTCATCTTCATCCTCAATCTGGAACCGTTTCTTCTTTTGGATTTCTGGAGCTCTTGACTCTGGGCCTAGGGGAATGACAGGGGTGAGAAGAGAGAGTATCTAAATACGTTAAGGGGGAAGAAGGCGGGTAGTGTCGGTCTTCAGGACTGAGGAGAAGAGTGCTAGGGGTGAGAAGAAAAAGCAGATCCCATTCAGACACCCTACCTTTGCTCCTGCCCTCGCCTTCCTCCTGTTCCTCATCACTGTCTAGCAGCTGACGTTTCCTGGGTGCCATTTTCAGCTGTTCTTTTTCGCCAGCAGGCCCTTCCCCTGAAATGACCATAAGAGGTCTGGAATTAGGGAACCGGGCCCCCAAATTTTCTCAAAATACCCTATCAGGCTTCGTGGTCAACATGGCTGGTCCACAGTTAGTACCCAACAGGTAAATGGTCTTACCCTCTGGGGACTCCAGGCCGGCTTTCTTTCTTCTGGCTAACAGGAGGGCCCGTAGGGCCTGTGCATGGTACTCCTTTTGGTGTTCCTCTTCAGGGCCTTGCTCTTCAGGGACAGTAGGTTCTAGTCTTGACTGAAGTTTTCCCTCCTCCTCTGGCTGACTCAAAGAAGCTGCTATCTTCCGGAGCTGGGTAGGACTCAGCTTAGCTGGAATTCTCCAGAAGGTTTCCTACAGGAGCAAAAAAGTTGAAAATGGGAGTGACATGGAAGGAGCAATCTCTAGTTCACCAGATCTTGACATTTTTCATGAGTAAATATGACCCCACATTGGTGGAGATCCACAAGGTTGTCAATTCTACTTCTCACTTATTTATCCAATGTATGCACAAAGTCTAACACAATGCCGGAGACATCAGAAGGTTCCCAGTAAATTCAGTTGTTAAGTAAATCAACGAACAAATATCAGGGATCTAAAGGTGAATCAGATATGATCCCTGCTTTCAAGAAACCCACGATCTAGTGGAAGAAAGAACCAACATACCGTAACATGACGGGATTGGGGCTATATCGAGGGAATGAGCAAATCCCAGCTGCCAAAGGTCCTACTTTCACCTCAGTGGGGGAAGGAGTGGTAGGGACTGCTTCTCTGAGGGGACAACTGAACTGACTGTTGAAGGCTGAGTGGAGGTTCAGCCGGAAGATGGGTGATAGGTGAGTGTCGCCTTGTACGTGTGGTTGGAGACCTCCAGTGGAGGGGCTGGCGTGATCAGCTGTTTGGAGGTATGGAAAGTAGTCCAGAACAACGACGGTGAAATAAGGTGTGTGGGTGGCGTGGGTTTGAGGCTGTGAAGGCAGGCTCAGGCTCAGCATGCCCCCCAGAGGCTGTGGACTGTGTCCCGCCAACAGCACAGAACCACCCAGTGCTCTGGACAGGGGAGTGATGTAATCAAAACCATACTTTAGAAAGATAACTTGGGGGGCAGCATGGAAGGTGGAACAGGGGACTAGGGGATCAGAAAACATGAACAGGACGCCTTGTGCAGGAGCCTCAGTCAGAGGTGACCAATAAGGAGGTCAGAGATGGCAACTGCAATAAGGAGGAAGAGATGTACAGTTTAAAAAAAGAAGAGAGAGAGAGAGAGCTGTATAGTAGCAGGAACACGCCCCGTGGCTGGAAGTGGAACTGGTGTTTTTACCTGTCCAGAGGCAGGAGGCCGAACCCCTAGCTTGCGCAATAGCCGTTGAAACTGCTCATTTTCCATCGCTTCCTCATTTTCTTCCGTCAGCGGCACCAAAGGCACTGCCTGGGAGCAGCCTAGGACGGGGGCAGTGGTCATGTGGTGAGAATCGGAAGCCAGAACCGGTCGTCCACCCCAGGGCCAGGTCTCTGGCAGCCTCCAGTACCCTCAGCCCCGAAAACCATCCTCTATCCGCTCACCATCCTCTTCTCGATCATCTGCTGCTCGAATCAGACAGTTCTGGAGCCACAGAAGGGGAGCAGAGAAGCCTACGGCAAGGAGGGAAACTTAACATTGGCTCATGCTGCCAACCCCTCCACTGGGACACGTCTCTAGCCCAAGCGCTCACCTTCCTGAGACAGGCTTTGCCCAAGGGCTTCGGTTGAAAGGACTGAGCTACCCTGGGCTTGCCCTGCTTCTGAGTCCTCCTCTTTCTCTTCGCCCTCGTCACTTTCTTCCTCTGGCAGGTTTCCTTCTTCCAGATCCTCCTGGCAAACATCTTTCCAGGACTCCTCTCCGTTAGGCTAAAATTCAGTGGGGGTGGGGGTGGAACGGAGTCATCTGGAAACTGAGGGCACCCAGCCAGAGGAACCTCAGGCAGGAACTGTGCAGGCGAGCAACTGGTGAGGAGCACTTGGGGCAGGCGGAGGGGGGTGGAGGGGGAGGGCCTGCAGAGCCAGGGAAGGAGCGTTACCGAGCTGGAGGGCACCAACTTCTTGCGGCGTTTCTTATACAGCTCCCTCCGCTCAGCTACCACTCCCAGAGCCAGCAGCTTGTCCACGATCCGGGCCCGTGAGCGTCTGGCAGTGATATTCCTCATGATATGACCCAGCACATCTACAAAGAGGGAAAGCGTGTTAGAGCAGCAGGGGGAAGGGAGTAGTGAAGGAGAGCAGAGGCCTTTGGAAAGAGGCAAACTGAGTGAATTACTCACAAATGACACCACAAATAGAGTAAAGGGAGAGAAGGAATGGGATAAGCCTTCCTCGGGACTAGGAGGCAAGGGCAAGACATAGACAGCTCAGCTCCCATCTCAGAGGCTCGGAAGCCGCCCTATCACTTACCATCTGAGTCCTGGAACTCCTCAAAAAGCCGCTGCAGCTCTAGCTCCTGATCTTCCGTCCACAGTACAATATGGGTTCCTTTCCTGCTTAAGGAGGTGTCAGTGGAAGAGTGGGCCCCAGGAGCAAACGGAGGACTCCTTATCTCAATACCCCCCAGAGCATATGAGCCTCTACCTCTGGAAGTCCTTGACGCTGTCAGCCAGTCCCAGCCGTACCAGATGGTGGATGACCTGCTTGCGTGTTCGATGCGTTTTCAGCTGAGCCAAGATGACGTCCACCACATCCTGACCTAAGGGGGAGGGGGAGTGAAGCAGTAAAGGGGGTCCTAGAGCTCCTGCTGCCCACTGCAGAAATCTTCAGATCTCAAGGACTCATACCTTCCACATCCCTATGAGCAAGGTACAATTCCTGAAGCTGGGCCTCCTCCTCTGGGCTCCAAATAGGGGGTCTGCGACTGGAAGATCTAAATGGGGCAAGGAGAAAGTGAGCATGTAGGATGTTGGCTCCAAAAGAGGAGACCAAAGGCCCTCTCCGGTCAGCTCTAAAAGGAACAAGAAGGGCAACGCAGGGAACTCAGAGAAGCCAGCTAGTGGAGGTCTCAGTGTGCTTCCTTTCCTTCACTGTCCTTCCACTTAATGAACCCAAGAGTCAAATGAAGAGACTTTCTGAGTTGGGCCTGTGGAAGCAGACACTGCAGGGGCTGAGCGGATTACGGAAAAAGGAGAGGAGCTGAGCTACAGGAAAAGAGGGCAAACAGTTCCACGAACCCTCATAGTTGCCCAGCACATTTTGGGACAGGGCATATAGGGACTCTCTCCAAAGAGCCAAACCCCACTGACAACTGACTGCCCCCCATGAAGGCGGGTGAAGGAAGGAAACCAGAGTAGAAAGGAGACCAGTCCCATTTCCTCTCGAGTGATCTCAGGGAAAACTTGGGGGCTTGTTTTCTCACCTATGAAAGGGGAAGTCCTACTAGCTGATCTGCGAGCTCCTCCAGCTTTGACACTCTATGCCCGTGTCGCCCACCATTGCCCATCCTTCTCCATCTTCAAGCTCACCCGCCATCCAGAGAGCCATAGCCCTCGGCCATCTCTCGAACCACAGCTGTGTTTTTCCAGAACAGCAGCTCCACAAAGGCTTTCTGGTTGATGGCAGCCAATGCAAAAAACTTGCCCAGGATGTACTTGGCGAAAGTCACCAGCTCCTGGGGGAGAAGGAGGCTGCTCTGAGACCTCTGGCCTCAATGTACACATCAACCAGACCTTCTAGGTACTTTCTCTCTACCTGTGCCCAGCTGCCCCTCCTCCCTCAGACTATCTTCCAGTCTCCCTCAATCTGTCTGCCTACCTCCTCACCGTTCTGTCACCTCTCAGCACCCTTTCTCTCCTGAAGACTATCCTTTGTGACCCTATAACTGCCCTAAGCCTCTCGGTCCCCACTGCTTGGGGTGTCCTCACTTGGTAGGCCCCAGCGGCTGGGTCACTAAGCAGTCGGTTGAAGAGGCAGAAGAGCGAGAGCTGGAAAAGCAGGGCTTCCATCTTGAGGTCATGGGCCAAGCGGTGCAGCATCTTGACTAGGCAGTGGTTAGTGTGGGCGCTGTTCTGTCGGTAACTCCGAAGCAGCAGCACATAGGCTCGCACGACAGCTGAGCTCGCAAAACTACACCGAGACAGGGAGGCAGAGCGGGCATCAGCACGAGAGGGATGCCGCTCACCCTCTTCCCAGCTCTACGATCTCCACCCTGGGGCCCAACTCTGTCTGCTCGGCCCACACCGTTTGAGGTAGTCCAGGAAATTAAATTCTTTCTCTGACACCTGGACCGCTTGCAGCTCTTCCTCCTCTTCTTCCTCCTCCTCCTCTTCCTCTGCCCCTTGTTCCTCTGGCCCCTGCTGCCCTATAGGAAAAGCGAGGCTTATCAGGTCTCTGTGACGCTGGTTCTGGAGAAGAGCTGGAAGGAAGGGGATGTGAAGAAAGTGGAGACTCACGGGGGAGCGGGGCACCAAGGATTTGTTTCAGCAGCTCGAACTCTTCCTCTGCGGAAATGTCTTGAGAGCCAAACACATCTCCTTCTGGCCATACCTCCCTGAAGCCCAGAGGAAAAAAAAAGCCCTTCGTCATGGGGGAGTCGGAGTTATAATTTGAAGTGGGTGAAGGAATTTGGACTCAGCTCTCATCTGTCACCCAGAAAGAGAATGCAAACTGTTACCTCAAGGATGAAACAAGGACTCTAGGGAAATCAGCCACACTGCAATCCACACCATAAGAACAAAACGCAAGCAATGTAAATGTGTCACAATCAGTTAAACAAATGTACATTTCACACTGCCATTAACAATTATGGCAATATGTCTCATGAGAAACGATGCTCATGATAATACTGAGAAGTAAAAAAATACTATAAAACAGTACATACAATATTTCATTCTTGTCAAGGCAACTGTGTATGTCTATAGATAACACAGAGGGGAAAAAGATGACTCATCAAAATGTTAAAGATTATTACCTTCAGCCAATAGAATTATCTGTATTTTCTCCCCAATTAACTGTGCTTTCTGATATTTCTCAAAAATAAAATAAAAACTAAAAACAGACCCCCCCCAATAAGCCAAATGAAATTGCCCACGACTCAGTGCTCAGCACAGAGCCCCTGCACTTCTCATGGGACTTCTCTCTTTGGAAGACAAAGAACCTTGGACCACAATGAAAGCCTCCCTCCGCCCCCAAAAGCCCAGGAGTTGGATCCAGAAAGATATGGGGGCAGGGCTCTTACCGGGCAGATCTAAGGAGGGCCAGGGCCTGTTGGGCCTGGCCAGCCAGGAGACAGTCTTGGATCCGCACCATGGCTTCTGCCCGCTGCTCTTCCACTGGCACCTCTGAGGCCGCGTCAAAGGGAACCACGGATTCCAAACTGAGCTCTGGGTCCTAGAGTGGGATTAAGGCTATGGGAACAGAGGAGGGAAACCCAGACAGCCTACCAGCACACTACCCTAGGGAAAGGCAGGGTTTCTGCAACTACCCACCTGGGCACAGCACTGAAGCTGCTCGGCCAGGGACAGCCACATAGTCTCTAGTTCCCCTGCACCAGAGGGGACATCTCCAGATGCCAGAGGCCGATCTAGGACCTTCTTTTTCTTCTTTCTCTTCTTTCGTTTGTTCTATGGAGAAAGAACTGTTGTTAGGATGGCTGGAAAGCTAAGGAGATGTTTTCCCATCAATGTCTTCTCCATTCATTCATTCATTCATTCATTCATTCAAGGTCTGAATTAATTAATTCGATAGTCACAGACTGACCATGGTGTGCTATTCATAAGCAATAGGGAAGCAAGAGTGAGCGGTCTATTTCCTTGCCCTTGAGGAGCACACAGTCCAGTGGAGGAGACAGGTGTGTAGACAGGTAAAGCATACTACAGTATGGATAAGACCTAGAGTATGGCTGGGCATAAAATGCCACAGCAAAACATAGGAATAGTACTTGACTTATTTCTTGGGGTCAGAGATTTCCCGAAAGCAGTGATATCTTAAGCAAGTTTACAGAATGGATTTGCTACAAGGATATGAAATTGTATATGAAAAGGCTTTGTAAAATGCAAAGCCCTATGGAAACATAACCTGTATTTTTTTCTCCTGAAAATCAGGAAAATGAGTCAACACCCCACCCCTGCTCCCCCAAATCAAAGCTCTGAACCAGTTTGGGGCACAAATAGAAGGACTAGGAGGCACTCGAGGTTCACGCTCTATTCAAGAAACTCATAACACACCAAAGGTTAGGAACATGAGCTTCGGAGCCTGACAGATGGGGACCTAAGTACTGACACTAGCCACTAGCAAGAACTTGAACAAGCTGCTTCACCACTGTGTGCACATGTCCTGGCAAGACTGCAAGGATGACATGAAAGCCTTAGCACAGTGTCTGACATACAGTAGATACTCAATAAACAATAACACCAGGGCACCTGGGTGGCTCAGTGGGTTAAGACTCTGCCTTCAGCTCAGGTCATGATCCCGGGGTCCTGGAATCGAGCCCTGCATCGGACTCTCCGCTCAGCAGGGAGTGTGCTTCCCCCTCTCTCTCTGCCTACTTATGATCTCTCTCTCTATCAAATAAATAAAATCTTGGAAAAAAATAACGAAAAAAACAATAGCACCTAGCATTTCTGATAATGCAATAGAGCCCTGAATGTAAAAATCTTTTCTCAAGGTCTCACTGGTTCTACTGGCCCTTTTAAGTCCAGTTCTGACCAAATTTTAAGCCATAGCAAATAGAATTACAGGAAGATTTTTACAAAGCAGAGTGCCTGAGTCTGCAGGATACAAATTCATTGAGATTTTCTTCTTGTTTTAGACTTCATCATTTTTTTTTTTTTCAATCACGGTAAGTGTATTCTTTAATCCTCATCCTTTATTTCCCCCATCCCCCTACCCACCTCCTCTCTGGCAACCATCAGCTTGTTTTCTGTAGTTAAGAGTCTGATTCTTGGTTTGTCAGTCTCTCTCTTTTTTCCTTTGCTCATTTGTTTTGTTTCTTAAATTCCACATATGAGATCACGTGGTATTTGTCTTTCTCTGCTGAATTATTTCACTTAGCATTATACTCTCTAGCTCCATTCATGTTGTTGCAAATGGTGATTTCATTCTTTTTTTTTTTTTTAATTTTATTTATTTATTTGAGAGAAAGTGTGTGAGAGTGGAGAGGTCAGAGGAAGAGCAGACTCCCCGCCAAGCAGGGAGCCCGATGTGGGACTCAATCCCAGGACTCCAGGATCATGACCCGAGCCGAAGGCAGTTGCTCAACCAACTGAGCCACCCAGGTGCCCCGATTTCATTCTTTTTTATAGCTGAATAATATTCCACTATATATATATATATCCCCCCCTGCTCAGCGGGGAGCCTGGTTCTCCCTCTCTCTCTGTCACTCCTCATGCCTGTGCTCACCCATGTGTGTGCTCTGTCAAATAAATAAATAAATGAATCTTTAAAAAAAGGAAAAAAAACAGTCACATGCTCCACTGACTAAGCCAGGAAGGCGCCCCTCGTCTAAGGCTTTTAATTTTTTATTTCATTTCAGGCTTCTTTTTTTTTTTTTTTAAAGATTTTATTTATTTATTTGACAGAGATCACAAATAGGCAGAGAGGCAAGCAGAGAGAGAAAGGGGGAAGCAGGCTTCCCGCTGAGCAGAGATCCTGATGGGGCTCGATCCCAGGACCCTGAGATCATGACCTGAGCCGAAGGCAGAGGCTTAACCCACTGAGCCACCCAGGTGCCCCTCGTTTCAGGCTTATAATACCATCTTAGGGATCTCGGCACTGACATGAGCATCTTGAGTTAGTCTAACAGTTACTAATACAGAATGAGATTCTAGACCTCCTGGCTTTTTTTTTTTTTTTTTAAGATTTTATTTATTTATTTGATGGGTTGTCAGGGGACAGCACAAGCAGGGGGAACTGTAGGCAGAGGAGAGGCTTCCCCACTGAGCAGGCAGCCCTATGCTGGCCTCGATCCCAGGAACCAGGACCCTGGGATCATGACCTGAGTAGAAGGTAGACACCCAACCAAATGAGCCACCCAGGTACCCCTAGACCTCCTGAGTTTTAACTTAGGGCTCCTTCCATGTCACTACAATGCTTCTGAAGTATAACCAGGAAAGATCACAGCATAATTACTAAACTCTAAAATTATGAATCCCCAGAATTTATATGCTTTGCACATAATAGGTGTTTCATAAATATTTCCTGTGAATTAAGATATTTACGTTACATTGGAGATTAATTTAATGAAAGCAGGAAACTGTATTAGACTCACAGAGGCAACATCAGCAAATCCCTTGCCCTCCTTAGTTCAGAGTAGTTCTCACAGGTCAGCTCAAGTTACAGAAATATGAGGAGAGATCCCTGTTCTCTGCCCCTCCCTGTAACTCTTTCCACATCCCGGGGCTGTCCAGTACCTGCACAACCAGGTTCCCACGGCTCCGACAGAACCGCTCCAACATCTTGAGGAAGAGGTGAGTGGTTTCCACCAGGTCACGAAGGAAAGAACGTGGCTGGCATCTCTCATCAAACTTTCGGAAGAGTGCCAGGAAGAGTTCTCGGTACTCCATCACATAGAAGATGTTGTCTAGGAATGGGGAAGAGAAAGGAATGGAAGGATTGGTCTGGAAACTTTGAGAAAGAGAGAGACGGATGAAGCTGGAACTGGAAAGAATGAGAATATAGTCAAGAAATGGGCAAGGCCAGGATTAGAGACCAGGCCAGGGCCTTACTCTTGATGATGCGGCTGCTCTCCCTCACAGCCTCGTCTGGGGACATGTCCATCTCATTCACTGTGGCCAGCAGTTCCTGATAGGCCTTCAGCGCCAGGTGCATCCTGGGAGATGAGGTGAAGAGGAAGCATGGAGGACAATTTAGGAAGCTGGCTCGTGGAAACAGTACCACTCCTACCCGTTCCAAAAAATACTTCCATCAAAAACAGTAACCCAGCCTGTTCTTGCTCCCCAGCCTAATCACCTTAATCCTAAAACAGCAAGGAAAGTACCACTCAGAATTCAGGCACTCTGATTCCTAGCCTGGCCAAGATGCCCACTTTGACCCCAATTCTTTTTTTTTTTTTTTTTTAAGATTTTATTTATTTATTTGAGAGAGAGGCAGTGAGAGAGAGCATGAGCAAGGAGAAGATCAGAGGGAGAAGCAGACTCCCCGTGGAGCTGGGAGTCCGATGCGGGACTCGATCCCAGGACTCCGGGATCATGACCTGAGCCGAAGGCAGTCGTCCAACCAACTGAGCCACCCAGGCATCCCTTGACCCCAATTCTTGTCCCACTCACCGACGTGCCCAGGAGGCAGCTTCCTTGCGGTCAGTCAGCATCATCTCATAGTAGTTGGTGAGGTTCTGCTCAATGAAGTGGAAGGTACGGACACTGAGGGTCTCAGAAACCAGGCCTGGCCGGAAGGAGGCAGCTCTGTTGAAGGCCATGAAGAAAGCCAAGGCCCACATGTAGTAGGTCTCGTCATGCTGCTGAGCCTTCTCCCGCAGCAGGTGATCCTGATGTCCAGGAAAAAAAGACCACGTCATGACTCCAGGGCTTCCAACTTTCTCCTCATCTTATAGGATGATGGGATAGACCCTGGACACCACTGTAACAATATTCCAGGATTTGGAATTTCCAGCCCTCTCTTGTTCTCTCCAGGTCTCTCCTCTTCCTCTGGGAATTTCTCTAAGCCTTTTTAAAAAAATTTTTATTTATTTTTTAAATTTCTTTTCAGTGTTCCAAAATTCATTGTTTATGTACCACACCATGTCTAAGCCTTTTTAAAACAGCCCCAATAACCCACTCCCTCCCAGCATCCTCACCATCTCTCAAGGGCACCCTATACCCCGCCTGACTACTAGTCTACACTCTGGGATCAGCCTCCCATAGGCTCTTCCCCAGGTCCCCTTCTTACCCACCACCGGCCCCATCACCTCTCTGTTCCACCCTTCCCAGGCTCTCACCTTCACTGAGCCCATGAGCCGGTTATAACAGTTCTCTAGGAACTCAGAGCAGAAGTCTCTGAGGAAGAGTCTCACATTGAGGGCAGAGCGGCGCTGAATGGACAGCTCCCGGGCAGCTTGGCGACGTTTAGGCACCCTTCGGGGCTGCTTTCCCAAATCTGAACTGTAGTTTCGGAGCTAGAGGTGTAGGGTGGGGAGGTCAGAATTACTTCCCACCACCACCTTCCCCCTGCAGCTCTTCCCACATTCCTAGTGCTACAATTTCCTCAGAAGAAACTCTTAGGGGTGCCTGGGTGGCTCAGTTGTTAAGTATCTGCCTTCAGCTCCGGTCATAGTCCCGGGGTCCTGGGACCAAACCCTACATCAGGCTCCCTGCTTGGCGGATAGCCTGCTTCTCCCTCTCTCACTCCCCTTGCTTGTGCTTCCTCTCCAGCCGTCTCTCCCTCTGTCAAATAAATAAATAAAATCGTTTAAAAAGAAAGAAAGAAAGAAAGAAAGAAACTCTTAGAAGGTTTTTTCCCTCTGGTACTAAGTGAAGACATAGATAAAGACAATAATGCCAGAGGCTCAAAAATTTTTCTCCTGGGGCGCCTGGGTGGCTCAGTGGGTTAGGCCGCTGCCTTCGGCTCGGGTCATGATCTCAGGGTCCTGGGATCGAGCCCCGCATCGGGCTCCCTGCTCAGCAGGAAGCCTGCTATCCCTTCCTCTCTCTCTGCCTGCCTCTCTGCCTACTTGTGATCTCTCTCTGTCAAATAAGTAAATAAAATCTTTAAAAAAAAAAATTTTTTTTTCTCCGATTGTCTCCAACTTTCTTTTTATTTTTTAAGATTCTCTCTCTTTCTTTCTCTTTCCTTCCTTCCTCCCTCCTTTCTTTCTTTGTTTTAAAGATTTTATTTATTTGAGAGAAAGAGAGGGGCGCCTGCATGGCTCAGTTGTTAAGCGTCTGCCTTCGGCTCAGGTCATGATCCCAGGTTCATGGGATTGAGTCCCACATCGGGCTCCCTGCTCATTGGGAAGCCTGCTTCTCTCTCTTCCACTCCCCCTGCTTGTGTTCCCTCTGTCACTGTGTCTCTCTCTGTCAAATAAATAATAAATAAAAACAAAATAATTTAAAAAAAGAGAGAGGAGAGAAAGAGCACACGCGCACAAGCAGGGGGAGGAGCAGAGGGAAATGGACAAGCGGGACCCCTGGGATCATGGCCTGACACTTAACGGACTGATCCACCCAGATGCCCCCCAAACTTTTTTTTTTTGGAGACAGAGAAAGAGAGAAAGAGTGCACATGTGAACAAGCAGGGAGGAGGGCCAGAGGGAAGGGGAGAAGCAGACTCCATGCTGAGCAGGGAACCCAATGAAGCACTCGATCTCAAGATCCTGAGATCATGACCTGAGCCAAAGGCAGACGTTTCACTGACTGAACCACCCAGGCATCCCTGTCTCCAACTTTCTAAGCCCAAGAACAAAGACGGTTTACTTCCAGAGATGCTTGCTTACCTTTATTTCTTTTGTATGATTTTATTTTTAAGTAATCTCTACACCAACATGGGGCTCGAACTCACAGCCCCGAGATCAAGAGCTGCATGCCCCACCGATGGAGGCAGCCAGGCGGCTCCCTCGCTTACCTTCCTTAGGGACCCTCAGCTCCACAGTGTTCCCACCCCACATGAGGAGCACACTCACGTTGTGGAGACCTTTGTGAAAGATGAGGTCCCTCTCCCCAATGGATTTCAAGCCTTGGACAATGTAGGAGCCCCCAAATCGAGAATGCCTGCAGTAAAAACAATAGTCCAGGGTGATTCCTCAATTCTCTGGAAGCTTTATCACCATTCTCTCTCATCAGCATATCACAGCATATTATGACTCCAAAATGTTATTTGGTCATCACTGTCTTAGCCTTTGGCCCAAGCCCTCAGACTTCCACACTGAAGGGCTGGGGACAGAGGGAGGGCACCTCCCTGTCACTCACCTGTTGCCTCGCTGAAGGGCTCGAGTCTTCTTTTCTGCCATCTCTCGCTGGCGTAACACCTCCAGTTCTGCCACATCCGTGCTCCGCTCCTGCGCTAAGCGTCCCTGTCCTACTCCCGCCAGCGGTTCAGGGTTCTAGATTCAGAACAGAGAGGAAGAGTCAGAAGGACAGTCATTCCTTATTCTAGGTTCAGTCCTGCTGGGAACAGAAGAGGTGAATGAAATAGAACTGTTGAAGGTATCCCATACTCAAGACATGATCAGCTCTCACTCACCTGCTCCCAGATAATTCAGTCACTGTTTCAAGAGGAAGTCTGGCTACACAGCAGAAAGTACATGGGTGAAGGGACTAGGGAAATATGCCAGGTTCTCACCTGGTCACGAAACATAAGGGAGACAATCTCTAGCACATGCAGGCTCCATTGTTGCTCAGCGGGCGAGCTGGCCAGAAAGAGAAGCAGGTCATCCAGACCACTGAGGTGAATTGCCCAGAGAAGCTGGTCATGGACACTGGCGTCATCGTCGATTCTCTGGGGAGTGAGTGATAAGGGGAGGAAGACAGGTCATTTGGTTTCACTGCCCTGCCTTGAGGTTCTCCAACTCATTTCTTGACCAAGGGTCCCCCCCTAACTTGTCAGAGGGCAGAAAAGCAAAAAAGGGCAGCTCACCTTAACCAAGCATAAGAAGGCATACAACCCAAGACCCTCTCACCTTCTCCTGATCGAGGTCAGTAGGAACATGGAGAATATTTCTGACCAGCAGCAGGATCCGTTCAATCAGCAAGTTATCTTCCTCTTGCCGCTCCTCCCAGCCCTAGTCAGATGGATGGTTAGAGGCAAAGACTCCCTGTGGAAGGCAGGCAGCATCTACCCTGGCTAAAGGGCAGAAGCCTAGAGAAGAACCAGGATTAAGGGAGAAAAGAGGGGTGCCTGGGTGGCTCAGTGGGTTAAGCCTCTGCCTTTGACTCAGGTCATGGTCTCAGGGTCCTGGGTTTGAGACCCGCATCAGGCTCTCTGCTCAGCAGGGAGCCTGCTTCCCCCACTCTCTCTGCCTGTTTCTCTGCCTACTTATGATCTGTCTTTCTGTGTCAAATAAATAAATAAAAAAAAAAAAAGGGGGGGGTAAAAGAGTACAAGCAGTCCTGAGGCAGCCAGAGACAATGGACGGGACCATGTATTGCAAGGACTAGGACCGTATCTCCAAACTCCACTGTCCTGACAATGACCAGCCAGCCTGGTGCTCTGCCTGGAGGAGGAGCAAGGCACTAAGAGTCCCCTGGGATCCTGGGAAGTGGACCCTCACTCACCAGCTGCAGCAGCTTATACAAAGTTTCACTGAGGACTCCAAAAGCCTTCTCACTGGCAAAGGCCTATAAAATAGGGGAATGGACCTTAAGTGGTACCCACCCTTCCTTTCCCTACCTCCCCCAACTTTGGACCCAGGGGCCCTGAAGGAGAACCTCACCTCTTTGTAGGCCTGCAAGTAAGCTAGCACCTGCAGAAAATGGCGCCGGAAGCTAGGCTCCTTGGGCACACTGCCAAAACAGAGCAAGGCTGGTTGTGTCAAGTTCACCATCAGCCTGGGGAGACCATGAAGGAAGGAGACGTTGTTCAGTTTCCTCACTGGGGTCAAACGCCGAAATCTATCAGGTCAAACGCCAAAGGTTGGCACATCATAAAATGGAAAAAGCTGGGGAACCAACCTGATAACAGCATCAAAAAGAGGCTTGTCCTGGCGGTGCTGGGTAAGCATGGGTAGAAGGTCACTCTGCAGGATCTGGGCTGCCCCCAGCTGTCGCCGCACGTCGCGAGTGTCATCCTCATGCCTCAAGTATCGGATCAAATCCTTCACACTCTCTTCAGGGACAGAATAAACATTTACAAGAACCCTGGAAGAAGCTCCATCCCGGCCCCCAGGCTACCCATACCCACAACTGGAGAAATTCTACAGACCTCTGCAATTCAAGCAGGTTTTTTTACCTCAAAAAGGTACTCACCTAAGCAATCTGGTTCCTTGTGGTAAGTGTCTCCCTCTAAGTACCCAAGGGCACTACACGTGGCTAGAAGTTCACAGTTCATCATGTACAAGTCCATACACCAGTGGAGCAGCCGAGAGAGACAGATGGCAGGTGGAGACAGGACTCAGCAAGGAGGAGGCCTGTAGAGACAGGGAAAGGTAACACATGGAGGGTCCTCTCCAAGAAAGGGAGAGGGGAACAGAAGAGGACCCTAATGCTCATAGTATTTTGAACAAGGTCCTCAAATGCTTCCCTTTTGTCAAAAGTACCAAAAGTCTTATGCCTAGTTCCAGGGAAAGCTTAAACTAAGGCTTCCACCTCATCAAAACCAAGGAGACCCCAAGCCTAAGAATTAAGCATCTGCTCCATACTCTAACTTGGATCTAAAACTATGGAAACAGTCTGTTTCAGAGTCAAGGTAATATATAGAAAGAAGGCATGGTCAGAGAAAGGCATCAACCCTGACACTTTCAACCTCAGAGAGCTCCGTAGCCTTCTGGAGGAAGGGTGGGGCAGGGTGGGATGAGCTTCCCTCTCCTTTAAGGCCCCTCCACCTACCACAGACCCTCCACACACCCTGTCACAGCTCTGTGTACCACAAGGGCTAAGAAACACAATGATTCTACTTAGGATCTGACATTCCTAGGAGTCCAGAGGCTTCTGAGACACTGGGGATGCAGAGAGAAAGTTCCTTCACCATCCTCCCCAAAGTTACTCTTAAATTTTGGGGATCTTAGTAGAAGCTAGTGTCTAACAGAATAGGTGTGGAAAAGAACTAAACAGAAACCAGTTCTCAGAAGAACCATCTTCCTTTTCTAAAGCTTGTCCCTTTTGATTAAGATCCCTAAACCCTCATCAGGTAATCAAGTAGGCGGAGATCCTGAATCTTGGGATGTTTCAGAACCTGACCCAAATAATGCAGACACATGCACACACATTATATTCACTAACCTGTTCCTGTGGAAAACTGGGAATGTCCTCAGTCTTGTACACCATATTCAGCTACACTGTTCTCAGGCCTTGGCAGCTTCCTCTGAAAAGACCTTTCCCTGTTGCATATAGCTACCTCTAGCCCCTGACTCCACCCCTGTTCCCCAAGAGTAAATGTGTAGTGTCCAAAGGACTAAGGTTTAATGCCTGATGTTATCTCCTTGCATTTATGTAATTGGTCTGCTTCTCTAGGCTACGTGCTACCCTTCTACCCACACACAGTGCTAATCTACTTTCTGAACTCTCAGCCCAGCAAGAGTGAGCCTATAAAACACTGAAGGACCAGAAGTCTGAAGGGAGACTTCTGTTCAGTGCCTTCTCTCATGGGACCTGTAGCTCCTCAGACCTGGACTCCAGTGCGGTAGGTGCAGTGTGTGGGATCTCTGATTCTCCCCTGAGACACATCCAGCTTTTTCAGATAGGTCACTGGTGTGTTTACATACGTACACATGCACGCGCGTGCACACACACACACACACACACACTGCACACTTCCCTGTCTGCTCTAAGTGGCAGCCTAGGGAGCTGACAAAAACAAATAGAACAGTCTATAAAGATGCTAAGTCAGCACATCCTCTTTGAAATAAGAGCCAGCATCACACTCTGGTACTGAAAGGTGTGACAGGATAAAGCCTTCTAACAACAGAGACAAAGCCATGTCTGGGAGGCTCTAAGACATAACCTCATACAGTCCTAGCTCCCCTTCCCCTATATCTTTGTAGACTGTAGACCAATGTGATGTAAAGATTCAGTATTTGTAAAATTGGCCCCAACAGAGTACTCAGACGTCTGCTTTCAACACTCTACCTGAAAGGCAAAAATAGCGAGCTAGTAACAGCTACCTGTTACTTGGCTATCGAACTAAGAAGGGGAGGGGAAAGGAGATGGGAAAGGAGCAGTCCTTGCAGACTTGAGATGGGAAGAGGTTATGTAAGAGACCCAGGACTGCAGGTTCTAATCCCCCGCAGGTTTGTTTTTATCCCCCCTTGCAGTTCTGACAAAACCAGAGAGCAACAGGCAAAGCAGAGGGAAAAATGAGTCAGATGACCTAATGGAAAGCTCTCTGGTCATGAAGCAAGCTGTCAGTGTTGGGCCTGTCCATTAGCACTGGAATCAAACGGCTCTCTTACGCATTTCAGCCATTCTGGGTGGAAACGCGCTATTAGAAAATCATCCAGAGACAGAAAACTTAAATAGTTCATTCTTCATTCATTTAACTAGAAACTACTCACTTTGTCTGGTCTCATCTTCCTCTCCTAGACCACTTATACTCTGATTGTCTTATTCTCCTTTACTAAATGTTGGCTTATGGATTTCTGAATGCACTTAATGTCTTTCATTTAAGAATCATTGGATAGGGACGCCTGGGTGCCTCAGTCAGTTAAGCCGCTGCCTTTGGCTCAGGTCATGATCCCAGGGTCTTGGGATTGAGTCCCACATTGGGCTCCCTGCTCAGCAGGGAGCCTGCTTCTCTCTCTGCCTCTGCCTGCCATTCTGCCTGTTTGTGTGCTCTCTCTCTCTCTCTGATAAATAAATAGATAAAATCTTAAAAAAAAAAAAGAATCATTGGGTAAAAACTAACACAAAGAACAGTATAAGGGTCACAGGGTGGGGTCAGGGTCCTGGCTTCTCTTCCTCCCTCTCTGTTCTTCACCAAGGCAGAGTCACAGAAAGGATGCTGTGACAGCCATGAAGGTGCCCACTCGGAGATTTCTCATCAAGAAAGAGCTTGTCAGGAAGCCTGGGTGGCTCAGTCGCTAAGTGTCTGCTTTCGGCTCAGGTCATGATCCCAGGGTTCTGGGATCCAGCCCCACATCTGGCTCCTTGCTCAACAGGGAGCCTGCTTCTCCCTTTGCCTGCCACTCACCCTGCTTGTGCGTGCTCTCTCTCTCTCTCTGACAAAGAAATAAAATCTTAAAAAAAAAAAAAAAAAAAAGAGAGAGCTTATCATTCAGCTGCAAAGAACGTGGCTTGCTGACAGCACCTCCAGGATCCACTCCAGCTCTGCACTTCCTGGGCAGCCCCTCAGCGAATGATAAGCACAGGGGTCCTCAGGCCCAACAAGGACCCCTCTACCAGTCAGTCCTTGCTTCTGAGTTTCTCCCTGGCTTGGCCAAGACTGGCCAATCAGCTCTGTGGGCTGAGCCTCTTGCTGCCCTCCAACTTGCTCCCGCCTTGATCTATCACAGCACTCCTCACTCCACTCAGCTCCTGCTCCCCAGAGGAGCTGAACTGACAGACACCTACCCCACTTCCATTACATGGTTACTGTATTTTGAGAAGCCTGTTAAGTTATATCACAGCACGTTGTAAACGCAGATGAATACGAAGTTAAAATAAAAATCAGTGTTCCCAAGCCTCATGATTTCATGTACCAGTGTATGTCCCCCCCCAAACTGGAGAACCCATCTTTACTGGTAAGGATAATAAAGATAGGGATATTAAAAAAAAAAAAAACTTTTTTTTTTTTTTTAAAGATTTTATTTATTTATTTGTCAGAGAGAGAGAGGGAGAGAGAGCGAGCACAGGCAGACAGAATGGCAGGCAGAGGCAGAGGGAGAAGCAGGCTCCCTGATGAGCAAGGAGCCCGATGTGGGACTCGATCCCAGGACGCTGGGATCATGACCCGAGCCGAAGGCAGCTGCTCAACCAACTGAGCCACCCAGGCGTCCCCTAAAAAAAAAAAACTTTTTAAAAGCCCCACTAACATCTATTAACACCAGTGTTTCATAAAAGAAAAACAGCTTAACACACACACAAAAAGTAGATATTATATAATCTCAGCTATGCCCTTTCCTTTAAGGTACATAAACAAGTCTTTATGAAAAACTCCCTACATTGTCCTTCTTTTTCTCATTTGACTTCAGACTGATAGAAATGTTATTACAGACCAGTACTGTTCTGCTCACTGGCACTTAGGAATCATTGATTTATATATTTATATAATAAAAGACGGGGTACCCAAGTGGCTCAGTTGGTTAAGGCACGGCCTTTGGCTCAGGTTGTAATCCCAGAGTCCTGGGACTGGGTCCCCCGCATCGGGCTCCCAACTCTGTGGGGAGTCTGCTTCTCCCTCTGACCTTCTCCCTTCTCATGCTCTCTCTCTCTCAAATAAATAAATAAAATCTTTAAAAATAAAATAAAATAGGGGGCGCCTGGGTGGCTCAGTGGGTTAAAGCCTCTGCCTTCGGCTCAGGTCATGATCCCAGGGTCCTGGGATCGAGCCTCATATCGGGCTCTCTGCTTGGCAGGGAACCTGCTTCCTCCTCTCTCTCTCTCTCTGCCTGCCTCTCTGCCTACTTGTGATCTCTGTCTGTCAAATAAATAAATAAAATCTTTAAAAAATTTTTTTTTTAAATTAAAAAAATAAAAATAAAATAAAAGTCATAAACCAGCCCAACAAAAGGAAAGTTCCCCGAGGACAAGGTTTCATTTTACTGTTTATTGCTGTACCCCTCAAAGCCTAGAACATGCCTATAGTGAGCATGTTACATATTTGCTGAATGAATTAATTTTGAATCAACGGATTATCCTGGGTCATAACCTCTGAACCAGTGAGCCCATTTTGGAGATTATAACCCAAGAAAACAATTCAAAAAAGAGAGGAAAACAAAAATAATACCTCTTACTAGAACATTTTAGTTTATAAAAATGTTTTCATAGCTTTATTACACTTTGAACCTCACAACAGTCCTAAGTGATAGATACAATCATTTCCATTTTACAGATGAAGAAACAGGCTCAGAGAGAATGAACACTTCAGGAAGATGTTTATAGATGAGTTATCTTTAATGGTGAAGGCTTGGAAACAAGTCAGATATCCTAACCCTGAGGAACCGCTAGGAAAACTTGATAATTTCAATAAACAATATGTCATGTAAATAAAAACTGCACACTAAAATTCAAAAGTTTATATTAAAAAATGGCACATACGGGCCGTCTCGGGGGCGAGGGGCTGACTCTTGATTTTGGGTCAAGTCATGATCTTGGGGTCTTGGGACTGAGCGGTGTGTCAGGCTCCCTGCTCAGTGGGGAGTCTGCTTGTGATTCTCCCTCTCTCTCTGCGCCCCACTCATTCAACCCACTTGTGCTCACGTGTGCTCTCTCTAATAAACAAAACCCCCCCCCTTTTTTTTAGATTTTATTTATT